AATTTGGCATATCCCTTATCACATGTTGTGCGGAAGCTACTCTTGTCATCAATACTACCAAGGAACCTTTCAATTGCCCAACACTTCACCAAATAATTTGTGGATATCATAGTGTCAACTGGGTGTAATGCAACATATAGTAAGCATATTCTTTTTTTCTCATCTTTTAGGTAATCATAACAGAACTTTATGAATGCATGTATTTCTGTCAAACCTAAGATCTCAACTTATCACCAATTTCGAAGCTCTTCCAAACCATTTCTCCATTCATCAACACTATTTTTCAATTTGAAGGAATTGGCCACTATGTTAATTAAGAGTAGGAGTCCATCACATTCCTCAACTACTTATTGAGCAATTGGTTCAACATCTGAGAGATTAATTTTGTTAGTTACTATATGTTGAAACATCAACCAAGCTTCATCTAAAGATAATGGCTTAACTTTGACCATTCTGTCTGCCATGGAATGACAAACGTGGCAAAATTCAGTTGTCAATACAACCTTTCTACCATTGTTATTCCTAGGGATTCCAATTGCATGTAGATCAAGGAAGCCCATCACATCATCAAGAAGGAGCAAATCTTTTTTATTTTTCAACTCTTCAGATATGAAATCAACAAATCTATCAAGAGGGCCCTTATCTTGCAAATTTAGTTTAAGCTACCTTGCAATCTCCAATTGCAACATCTCTTTATTAATCTCCATGGAAACTTTTATCCAAATAACCATTTCAAACATTTTAGCAACTGCCTCATGGTCTTTCAAATTCTGTGTTATTGTGGACTTCCCAACCCCTAGTGGCCCCCAAATACCAATTGCATTTACTTTATCAGTACTTAGAAACTGAAGGATCTTTTTCAGTGGTTCTTGAAGTGTAGGAAATGTCTTGATATCAGGTGGACTCATCTTCACAACTGGATTTAGAGGTTTATCAACCAGAAAACCAGCTTGAAATTATCCATGCTTTAAAAGTACAGGGACTTCTTGGGATATGTGCTGCACTCTTTCACAAATACGTGATCTATTCACAACATTTGACAACAAATTCATCTCTTGCTCATATTGAGCTTTTAGCGTTTCCACCTCTTCAAGAATAATCATCACACTATTGAGCCAATGATAGTAAGAACTAGAGGTTGTTTTTGTTTTATTTTGCTGGACTCTCCACTCATTATCATCTCGTCGAGCCTGAAGCAACACTACTGCCCTTTTCAATGTCCGATAGTCACTCTCAAATGACCTTGGCAGGTTACCGGATGCATAATTCACAAGTCCTTCAATACTATTTGATAAAAGATTGTTGATTGCATTTGCAAATACATTCACCAAAAAAGGGTCAAGTGACATGATCAAACTCAAACCCTGGAATTAGTGCAGACAAATAGAAGATGAAACTCAAATCCCACAATTTATTTATTTATTTATTTTTAAAAAAAGAAGGTTCGAGGTTGGATGAAAATTAAGAAAATAAAGTCGGATTGAAAAAAGGGTTGTAAAATCTGAAAGAATACAACAAATCAGAGCAAGCCCATCATTCTCTATACAATCACAGTCACAATCAAAGCCAACCAACTTTCTCCACAACACACCACAAATCTACCCAGAAATAGTACTAGCTAGTAACAGCACTGAAGCTAGTTAAGAGTTAATTGTTGTAAATTTAAACCAGGTGTCTATTAGTTGAGTTAATTTCTTACTAAATAAGAGACACTTGCTAATTGAGAATAAAAAGCCAAGGATGAACAAACCTGTGAAATGGAGGAGCTGTCCTAAATTACAAGAGAGATATAGAATAAACTGGGGAAGATGGAAGAACTAACATTAGAAAGAGATAATCATGATCGAAATAAGAGATGCCGGGTGCACAAATGAGAAACAAGAGGAAAAGAAACAAAAAAAAAAAAAAGATGGAAGAACTAACGTTAGAAAGAGATAATCACAATAAAAAAAACGATTACGTTCCACGGTGGCCAAAGATCATGGGAGATCCGATGAGAACGCTAGTAGTCTAGTATTGTGGATTGAGGGACATGGAGATCTTCTCCGATGCTTGGTATCGGCTAGCGGGCTTAATGTTGATGAAGACTAAAGACTTTGATTTTTACTCTCTTTGCAGTGTTGGTGCATGAATGAGCTAGAACTCATTCTCCACGTGACGGACGGACTGGTTCCACTTCGTCCTTAAATGGGAACTCCGATTGGGGGATTTAAAGTTCTATTCCTAGCTCACTTTTTTTCATCCCTTTAAATATAAAATGTAGTAATAATAGACAATTAAGGTAGTAATAATAGACAATTATCTTTTTTTTTTTAACAATTTTATAAAGGATTAAATTCAAACCGTTATCTGAAAGAAAAAGAATGCATTTAAACGTGGTTTGACGTAATTGGGCCTGAAGACTCAAGTGCAATAATAAGCAATTATCTTTTGTTTTTTTTTAACTTTTTTGAACCCACCCAAAGCAAGAGGGAATGCAGCTCTTCAATGGCTAGTGTCATTCAGCCTCTAGGCCCAAATGTAATAAGCAATTATCCTAGTTAAAGAAAAAAAAGAAAAGGAATGAACTAGAATTCACTTTTTTTTTTTGCAAAATAAATTCATAAAAGTGAAAAAGTAATGTTAACATTTTCAAGTTTTTACTTTGTCTTTCTTGATAATTTAACTCTTTTTTTTTTCAAAAAGTCTGAAAGGTTTTCCCAAACTAATTAATGAGTCTGATAGCTTTTTCACAATTTCCAAACATAAAGGAATCATTGTAGTAACAATTTTAATATTGAGTTGCACAAAAGAAAAACAATTTTAATATTAATTTTTTTAATTTCTGTCTTTAAAATTTAAAGGTATAATAATTGTAATTATACTTTTTATTAAAATTAATTTTTATTTTTTACATAATATAGGTATCTATTAAAAAAATCCTTAACAAAATAAAAATTTTACCAAATCACTATGTCAAGCCAAACGGTTAAAAAAGGTGATTGCATATTGATTAAGGGGTTATGGTTTAATTAAAAATAAATTTATTTTTTATTTTATTAATTAAGATTTATTTTAAAAAATAAATAAATAATAAGTTTTTATAAAATTTTTAATTTCAACGCAAATAATTTATTATTATTATTTTTTTTTAATTGAATCAACACAATATTTATCAAATCTGGTCCTATCCAAGGGAAGGTTATTGGATCAAAACGGCAAAGACATGGGTTTCCATTACTTAGCCGAAAAGATATGTTGCCGTTAAATGGGGATTAAGTGAAATGGAATTGACGCCTCCTTCTTCCATATTCGGGTCAACCTGACGGTTAAAAAAAAAAGGTATGTGTATAATAACGTTGATCTTGTGCATCAAATAGCCGTCTCTCACCGAACTCTGTCACCAATGCAAGTCTACTAAGATCAAAAGAAGGCAGCACGTTTCCTAAAGCGCACATCA